TTATGCAACACTTTTTCATAAATTTCAATTTTCATGTCTTTTACATGTATGTGTCATTGTGTCCCCAATGTGTTAAGAGACTCCCAGGATCTCAGGGAAAAAAATCTATTTTCTATGGTTCTGGTGATCCAACTCAGACGGAACACAAACACCTACTGAATTTTTTGTTTTTATTAACTATTGTAGCTAAATTGTAATCATCCAGATTAAAACAAATAAACACTTGNAATTAAGGAGGATTTATTAGGGACTTAATGATTAGGGCGAGTAGGACTGTCTAACAACAGTGAGTAACATTTAATGAGATACATTTTGAATAATTGTAATATACGCTGCTGGATATCTTCACTATACATATATGTAAAGTTACTAATAATGATTTATAATTTAGCTAAATAAGCTAAACCTAAAATGTAACGTTAACTAAAAGCTGTCAAATAAGCAGTAAGAGTAAAAACAGCATACTCTCGTTGACTCTGTATTTGGTAAATGACATACTTTGGCATGTAATTCTGATAATTCAATTTTGTTTATGACTTTTAATGACAAGTTACATTTTTTTCACAAATGACATTCTATATTAATCACCCCATACATATATATTATGTAATACGTATCTATAAATTATCATATATATTTTTAATAGGTACAAAATGTATCATTTTTAATAACGTTTTTACGAAACCTTTCTTATATACCATGTCATAAGGTTTGTTTTTCAAATGGAAATGATTACAGACTTAAATCCTGAGGGCTTCCTGATATATTGTGTTTCCGTTCGGAGTCTGCAGATGGGCTGGTTGTCTTAGAGAGGGAACTAATGGAGGAGTGTCAGGTTTTGTCTCCGTTATTTTAACTATCACTAAATCACATGTATGAAACATAATGTGGGATTTCTAAGATAACTAAACTATTGAATTCATTTTTTTATGACATACTTGACTATTACATTGTATGTCTTTTTTACCACGAATACGTACTATACAATAACTTGCATAAATAATATGATATTATTTTTGAGATATTTCGCATTTAAATTCATAAACTATTAATCTACTTTTTGTATGTTCATTTTGACCTACTGTACATACTTGTTTCTACTAATCGCCTTTTATTATATTATAACAATTCTATAGTCAGACCTACTATCTGACTTCATGTGTCTTTCTTCTTTTCTCCTCACAGGATGTCGAGGACATTCATTCCTGACATCAAATGAAGACGATGGCTTCAGGAGTTCTGAAGAACTTACGGTACTATTACTTGACTTTTCTGATATTTCCGACATACTACACTATGACTATTTATGATGTCAACTTGTTGATGTTTTTGCATTTATATATTAATATATCTTTTCATTCTACTAAACTGACTTCATGGTGGCTTTTTCTCCTTTCCCGGAACACCGAGTCAAGTATATTCCGACATCAACGAAAGACGGTGGCTCTGGAATCCTGAAGAACTTACGGTACTATAGACTTGACCATTCTCGAATTTTTGACATACTATACAGTACTATGTATGTTTTTTCTGATATGTGTCCCAATCTCCTTTCCGACTTCATGGTGTCCTTTTTCTTCTTTCTCCCCACAGGACTATGAAAGCGAGGAACATTCAATCCTGACATCAATTGAAGACGGGGCTTATGGAGACTTCTGCACGAATCTACGGTACTCATCCTATGACTTATTATGATATATCAAAAATACCGACATACTATAAACTATGGATACAAATTAATGAATATTAAATCGACATACGTCCGCGGTTTCTCCTTTTGCATTTCTTCGACATTGGTCATAGGGTTATAGACATTTATTTTGTCATAATAATTTTTCACATAGCTATATAAATGGACTTTCTGTCATTTATGAACAAAATAATACCACGCCTTGTATTCACACACTATACCAGTGCCTTATTAGGCGTCAAATAATTGAATTTGCATTATTTTTTTGCTTTTCTTATTAAAATCGACACATGTCAACATATATCGACTATGGCGTTTCAAATATTTTTGCAAGTGTTTAACCACATGCTAATATTCTGACATTTCTGTCATCATTATAATCATACTATACTACGCCTTGTATTTTCACACTACATCCGTGCCTTATTTCCACATAAAATACAATGATTTATCAGATTCGGGTTAACTAATACTGAATTCATGGTGTCTTTTCTTCTTTAATCATACCCACAGAGAGTGAAGAGGACCCCCCCCCATAACAAATGGAGACCTCCCGGCTTGCCTAATATAATCTGAAAAAACTTGTGGACGATGTTCCAGCCTTGAGGAGAAGAATAATAAGCAGACTTGCAGCCTGAGGGAACGTATAGCAGGACTTAACAGACATCGATGTGGCCTGCAGTGAGAGCACACAGCACTTAGCCAGACTAGCCGACTTGGGGCGGTGGCTGGGTGCGAGCGGGCCCCCCCAGCCACGCAGCCCCCCCGACTTTGCAGACTAGCAGAACTTGCAGGCCTACAGAATTTAGCAGACTACGGCAGTGACTGCAGGGACCTGCACAGGAGTTGCAGTGAGAGCGGCGCCACCTATCGGCCGCTTATTAACTTAGCAGGACTTGGGGACTTTATAAACTAGCAGACTTAGCCACTTGGGGAGACGTTAGCAAACTTGGGGACATTTAGCAGACGTTGGAACCGTTTAGCAGAACTTAGCAGACTTCTGGGACGTTTAGCAGACTATGGAGGAGACGTATAGTGCTTAGCAGCTTGGGGAAGTTTTAGCAGACTTAGGGGAGTTTAGCAGCATTAGAGACATGGGGACGGTTTTAGCAGACTTGGGACATTTAGCAGAACTTTAGCAGACTTTGGGACAGTTATAGCAGACTTGGGGGGACGTTTAGACAACTTGCAACTTGGGGACGTTTAGCAGACTTGGGAAGTTTAGCAGGACTGGGGACGTTTAAGCAGACTAGTTGACTTTGGTGACGTTTAGCGACTTGGGGACATTTAGCAGACTTAGCAGTCTTGGGGACGTTAGCAGAACTTGGGGACGTTTTGAGTAGACTTAGCAGACTTGGGAAGTTTAGTAGACTGTGAAGCTTACACACTACTGGGACGTTAGCAGACTTTAGCAGACTTGGGAGAAAGGCTGCACTTGCTATGTATGAATGTGATAAAAAAAAGTTTTTAAAAATACATTTGTCTCTTTTCTTCATTTCCAGTTCCCAAGATAGTATCCTATCACTACTCCTGTTTACTAAACACTCCTTTATTCTTATTCCTTAATTTAGCATCCTATTAACCTATTCATTGCCCTTATCCCATCTACTCTCTGCAACGTATGAAGGCTCGAACCTGCAACCCTCTGGTCTACCAACCACCCTTCTATCTCTTGAGCTATGAGACCTGATAGACACTTCTCTTGCTTTTACTGTATTTGACTTCTTCATCAAGGGAAAGACACATTTAAACTCTGCATGGCAACAAGACTCAAACTCCCTGGGAATCTTTAACCCAGTGGACCACCCGAGTTTGGACTCACGTTCTCTGGGTTTCCAAGACGGGTTTCTTATCACAGTGAGCCATACGACCTGACACAGTTAGATGTTCCCTGGCCTAGCTGAGATTTTCACCTCAGGTTTGGACTTTAAATAGACAGCCCAAGCACCTCTTATTTGACTTGAGACGTTATTGTTTCGTAGAGCTTATGTCTTGTTCATTTGGGTTTGTGGACCTTATGTGTGTGTTAAAGATGACTGGACCTGAAGAGCCTTGAACGCACAACCTTCAGTCTCACAGGCAGTCTTCTAACGCTCTGAGCCATTTGACCTGACACAGTATGAGAAGGTTTTGAAGTGATTTTGTCTTTTTATATGGGATGATGGACTTTAAGAAAGAATGCACCTCACAAAGATCAAACTAACAACCTTTAGCTTTCGGGGCAATGTTGGATCTCTCTGAGCCATTTGTTCTGGCTCTTCTCCATTACATTTTCTAATCTAATTCTTCACTTTGGGTGTTGGCTTTCAAAAATCACTGCACCTCACGAGGATCGAACTTAAGACTTCAGGGTTGCTGAGCGGTTGTGTATCTCTCTAAGCTATTTGATCTGAGCATCAGGTGTCTGTATGTCATTTCCTCTCATACACACAAGTACACGTGGACAATGTGAAAAAGTCCTCGGTTGCCATGGTGTGTGTTGCTCTGGTCTGGCTTCAGGGTTGGGGAAAAGTCTTCTTGTTTAATAAAAGCTTTTGGAATTAAATAACTGCCTTGCTCCAAGCCAAGAACAGGAATCAGATTACATTTAGAAATAAAGGTTATAAAAATAGCTTTTACTTATGTGGGTAATAATGGACACATTATAGAAGGAGAGCCAAAGCTTGCATAGAGTGATGACCTTTTATTTGAGGAGGATAGTGCTGACAAACATTCATATTAAAGTGAGGTGGCTGTACAGAAGAGATGCTGTGAGGCTCGACACTTTGGTACATTCTGGTAAGACAAACTGAGGGGAAAATATAACAATGTTCATAATGTGAATGGATATAATATTAGTTTGTACATTCAAGTGTGAACAAAGGTCCCTAGCTGGATCATATCTCCTTTCATTAAATATCAGGGTCATTTCCTATGAAAACATTTCCATGTTTAAATCAGATGACCTAGTTGTTTTTGACACCTCCCTCTAGAATAACTATATTTTGTTCTGATCTGGTTGTGTGGGGCAGAAGCAGATCTTTAATCACGAGGAGATTATAAATAAAATAATGCAAAGGATCAACTGCACAATTAATTGAAATGTATAAAAAAGGATAATGATTTTATCCGTTATAGGGTCTTGTGGCGCTGCAAAGAAGTCCCAGTGTTCTCCAGACTAAATAAAAATCCTGTTTGGTGCAGGTCCTCTTTAAAAACACACCATGATCATTTCAATTTATCTTTCAGTTATATAACAAATCAGAGTAAATGTATATGCTTACCTACTAGGTCATTTAAAACATTGCAAATAAGTGTTAACCCTTTTTTAAAATCTGGTACAAAATCATCACAAACAACACTACCTCATAAAGTGAGTTACATTCAAATCACAGAACATTAGAAAATCCAATTTCTTCTTGTCGATGAAAATACTGTAACAATGCCATTCCTGCACTGGAAAAGGAGCAGTGGAACATCTCAGGGAAGTCGCTCAAAGATTACCAAAAGCCATACGAGAAAGGGGAGTGCAGAGTGAACGGGCCAAGGGGTCGGACCCCCGAGACCACCAGAGGCTGCAGCTCTAGCAGTGAAGGCAGTGTTCGCTTCTTCTTCTTCCTAAAGTGATACAAACAAACCCCCCAGGTCGGGCTCCGATTGGTAGAACCCTGGCAGTAAAAGTTCTGGTCCCAAAGGCAGTGATTCTTCATTCCTCACATCACACAGGTGTGTCACTAAGTTAAATACGTGCAACAAAAAGGTCCTTCGAGTGCAGCTTTATCAAATGTAGCCCGTCGTGACAGGGACGGGGCTTTAATCCAACTTCTTCTTCTCTCCCAGCAGCAGTCCTTGGGAGGGGGGAGGGGGTTCTTGGTCGCACCAGGGTTTCATTCCAGTCCGAAGGTGCTGGTCTCCTCCACGGCCGTCAGCATCTTCTCGTACAGCATGGAGAAGGAGGGGTAGGGGGGCAGGTCCAGGCGGTTGAAGCAGGGTGAGCTCTGCAGAGGGCGGGCCGGGGGGGGATGTTAGCACGATGTCATTCAAAGGATCAGTTTATTATTGAACGTCTGTATAATCAATATAACATTTTAGCCACTGTGAAGCTCATGTTGAAGTGGCTTTACCCTTCTGAACACACCTCAATCTAATTGTATTTATATAGCCCAAGGTATTGTTTTATAAAATGAAATATACCCGTAAGATAATATTTACAATTAAGCAAAAAAGTAGGGTGTGGAACTGTGACAATTTGAGCCAACTAATGACTTATATTGTGTTATAATAGTAACAAAAGAAGAGAATACTTTCAAAATGAAAACTGCTTTATCTCACGAAATGAATGTTGATTTCAACATTTGTGTTATATTAATGTATGGGATTTTCTAAATAGTTCCATACTAAGGCTATACAACCATGTCTCCATTCCTTGGTATTTTACTTATTTAAACCCAAAGAAGAACTATGTATTTTCAACAGTCTACCTTCCTGAGACTAAAAACGATGTGAAATCAGTTAAAATGTCCAGAAGCAGACCATGCTGAGCTTCCTACCTGGGCAGTGCGCTGACCTTCCCCCACTTCTCCACACAGAACCTGCGGGGCCCGTTGCTGCCTCGCAGGGCGGCGAAGCCCTCGTAAGGAATACTGGACGTCCCCGTCACAAACTGGAGAGGGGGGGGAGGGATGGAACAGAAAGAGAAGAAAAAGATGGGGTTTGAACTGTTGTGCTTTACCTCAAAAGTTAAAGAAATATCACAACACACAAACACACACACACACACACCCCCACACACCCCCACACACACACACACACACACACACACACACACACACACACAGTGCTACGTTGGACTGTTGCTCATGGTAGGGAGTGGTGAGAGTGTGAGAGAAAGCAGAGTCCTTCACAGAGAGTTTAACTCTTCACTGGCCTCCACACTGACCACATTCAGACAAATTACAGGGCAAGGCCTACTGATAAAAATAGGGTGTATGTGTGTGTGTGTGTGTGTGTGTGTGTGTGTCTGTGTGTGTGTGTGTGTGTGTGTGTGTGTGTGTGTGTGTGTGTGTGTGTGTGTGTGTGTTTCCACTCATATTTTACACAATGAGAGAGAGAAAATTAGGATTTTCTCCCTCAGATTGTCGTCCTTTGATATTTGTGTGCCGTCCATTTCTTAAGCTTTCTGACAGATACGTGGCGTTTTCATCGTTTTCATTTTTTTTAATTCTCTGAGGTTAGGTAAGGATGTCCGACACACTTCTCCAAAAAGCACCAAGATAATGTTAATTATAGCATCTACAAAAGGTGTTAAATCGTTGTTCTGTGAGTGGGTTGCACAGAACAGAAAGAGAAGGAGTAGAGGGTGAAAGGACGGGGCATACGTGGAGAGCAGAGCGAGGGGAAATGGAAAGTCGAGACAGAAATACAGCAGAGCAGGAAAGTTATATTGGAATATGGACAGGCTGAAAGGGAGGAGACACATAATGGAAAGTTTGATGTTGCAGACAAAAAGAAAAGAAATGACAGAGATAGAAATAGAGAAGGAAGGACAGAAGGAAAAAGTATAGACGTGTTGGAGGAGGAACGATCAGGGAGAAAAAAGCAAGGATTTGGGTCATCTTGGGAGTAGAGGCGTATCAAAGGAACAACCCACTGAAAGAAGCTTTTCCCCAACTCGAGGAAGAAGAATCCATGTTTTTTCAGAATGTGTCGTTTTTTAAATGGATGGATTTTACTGCAAAATAAAATGTTTTTGGTTTGTTTCTGGATCCTTCCCTGAGCCAGAACAGAATACATGTAGGCTTTTATCATCAGGGACCAATTGTGCATTGGCACCAAATGCACTAGGGTTAGGGTTACTAGGAATAGATGCTCACAGAGAGACATTGCAAACATTAAAGCAATTATTTAATAGTGGAGGAACACTGAGGGAGCGTCAAATTTAGTCCACAACGCATCCACCAATGAGCTCCAATTGCTATACAAGTTCATTTAAACTACTTTAAACTTGTATTATTGATTATTAGCAATCACAGATAAAACATCTGGCTGTGATGTCATCACTGTGGGACGATGCCGACACGTCTTTAGGTGAAAAGAGAAGAAGAAGAGAGTCGAAAAGTGACAGACGAATAAGTGAGAGACCAAATGACTACACACACACACACACACACACACACACACACACACACATACTCCACAATATTCAACATTTTAAACACGTCAACAGAAATATATAGAAACATTTAATAAATGTGTATTCGTGCATGTACACACACACACACACACACACACGCACACACACGTTGTACGTACATGCGCAGTAGGCCTTTGTAGAAGGGTCTGGTGAAGAAGGCGTCCAGTAGGTACTGATGGATCAGAGCCAAGCCCAGAATACGACCACTAAACCGGAACCTGAAACACACACACACACACACACACACACACACACACACACACACACACACACACACACACACACACACACACACACACTCCAGTTTAATATTATTAATCCCTGAGCCTATGACACGAAAGCTGTGGTCCAAATGTTGGATGGGGATTAGATCCTCTGTGCGCTTCATTGTGTGTTTAATAAACCTGGTAGTAGAAGCTCACCATTCGTGGTGATTGTCTACGAAGGCGGACATGGGGCTGATCTGCACGGTGTAGGTGTCATTGGCCGAGTACTCAAACAGACCATAATAAGGGTTGAACAGCTCCCTGGAAACCAGGAAGAAGAACTCTCTGGAAGGCCCGCTGTAGTCCAACCTGCAAAACACACATTTAGATACCAATAGTTACTGCATTGCTGTACAATCCAAGTTATGATGATAACTTAAAAGTATTCTGATTCTGATGGATATATTTATTTACATTCCACCTGTGTGGGTTTCATGCGTATTCCTTCCCTCCCACCTACTCACCCCTCCTCCCCCACAAAGCTGACGTAGAGCTTGCTGCGCTGCAGGTCTTTCCGGGAGTAGCACATGATCTGATTGAAGGCATCCTCCAGCAGGTGGTCCCGGCGGATGATCAACCTGAGACAGGGACAGAAGGCAGGTGAGCGGACAGACACACAGAGGAGATGTTTTTCTCCAACAGATGTGAATCCCTTACTTGAGCTTCCCTGGTCCCTGACCGTAGCCTTTGGTTTCCAGTTTCCTGTAGAAGTTGCGCAGTTTGGCCTCAAAGTCTCTCTTGTACGGGGCTGGGGCTCTGGCATTGGCTCTCTGAGTCCCTACAGGCAGAGAGGAGGGGGGGGGGGACATGTACTCCTTCAGGGCCCGTGTCCACAGCTGGTATTACTGGATATCAATGCAGCAGCTACTGTAGGTTCTAATAACTTCTGCCTACACAGTGTTGGCCTTAATGCAATAAGATGCCATGTCTGTGTCTCTTACCAGGAGAGTTCTGCGGGGAGGAGACGGGCGACCCCCGGGGAGACTGGCAGTAGCTCGGGTGCAGTAAGGCGTGAGGCGGTACGTAGCACATCACTTCATCTTCAAACAGACTGCAGAGGAGAGAGAGGAGAGGAAACACATTCAATAGAAAGTACGAAAGGAAGGAAGCACATTAGGAGGAAGTGAAGAAGAAGAGTGATACACAGATAATACAATAAGACGACGGAAAGGGAAAATAATTCAATGCAGCTGTTACCTTAACAGCATGACAAGGTCAGCGTCACCTGACAGCCGGGCCAATCCTGAGCCTCCGTCAGTGCGGATCAGCTGCACCTTCTCCCTGTCGTCATAGCAACATTACAATGAAACAGATGCTGCTGACTGTAACTGTGATTTTGAATACAGGACTCGTAACAGCTTTTTTACCCATCAGACAAATGTGTGAATCTGAGTGTGTGTGTGTGTGTGTGTGTGTGTGTGTGTGTGTGTGTGTGTGTGTGTGTGTGTGTGTGTGTGTGTGTGTGTGTGTGTACCTGAGTGAATGGTTCCGGTTGAACTCAGGTTGTCTCTCCTGTAAAATCTCGAAGATGTTTGGTTGTCGAAGAAACGCCACAATTTTGTCGTTGTAAGCTGGAAGAAAAGCAGAGATATTTGTGTCAGTCATATTTGACTCGTTTCTGAAAAGCAGACAGGTTGTGTGTGTTGGTACTGACCCACTGGCACCACGTCCTGACTCTGCCCCCTGCTGGTGGAGCTGAAGGTGCTCGAAGGTCGCGGCAGGACCGGGGGGCCGGCGTGACGAGGGTCTTCACCAACCTTTAGAGAGGACAATTATTTTATGTACGGCTTAGTTGAATACTGGATCCTGATTGGTCCATTTCCACATTTGATGGTCTGTTATTACTCTCGAGAGGACTGCTGTTAGGTATAATGTTGATCATAGGATGTTGATAGATGTATTTAGTAAGCCGTCCTTAAAGTGGGTAATGTGCAGTTAGCTGGTCAACATTGCACTGCACATTTAAAACATCAGTCTACTTTAAGTTATTTGGGATGACACCCAGGTGCTTCAGGTATGTAGCTGACGTACCAGTCGTCGGGGGCTGACCTCCCCCGCGCTGTGGCTGCGTTGGCGGGTCAGGTGTTGGCGGTGAGCCAGGACGCTGGGGGGCCGGGTGCTCTGCAGGGGCAGCCGGGGGTCGATGAAGCTGGTGGCGCGGCAGTTATGATCCACAAAGAAAGGCTGCGTGTATACACAACACAAGAAATGTCAAGCATTACATTACATGTCATTTGTTAGGCGCTTTTATCCAAAGCGACTTACATACTAAATACTGTGGACAATCCCCACAGGAGCAATTTGGGGTGAAGTGTCTCAGGGACACAACGACAGTCTGACTGCAGTGGGACTCGAACCTGCAAAGTCCAGCACACTTCCACTGAGCCACAGCCTCCCCAAGTATTTCTTCACATATTTTAAAACATCAGCTCAAGGTAGACGGCTTAATTAACTCCAGATGTACTCAGGATGGAGGTTTCAAATGTAATATAATGCTAAGGACTTTGGGTGCGCCCCCACCTTGCCGGTGTGATCGTGCTTCATCTCCCAGCCTCGGGGCAGCTCCAGCTGTTTGTTGGCCATCATGTTGAGGAAGGCCACCAGGTCTCTGTTGTGCTGGTAGCGCTCAAAGTGGTGAGCATCCCTCCGCACCTTACTGATCATGTGCTTCAGACACGTGTTGGTGGTGAACATACGGTAGGCACTCTGAGCAAGCGAGGGAAGCAGGAGAGGAGAGGAAGGAGAGAGGAAACACATCCACCAGGGAAACGTGGAGTTAAGTGAAGTGGAACCACTGGGATATTATATCATCTATATCAATTCACCAATTTCAGCAGTAGTGTAATGAGTAAAAGCTAAATGTGTGTGGGGCTACTATCCAACCCTTTCCAGAAATGAATGTAGTTTTGGCAAATAGTGAATTATCTACGTTAGTGCGACCTATACTATGGAGGTAAGGGCAAAGAGAGACTGATCTTTGGAAAGAATAAAGCGATAGAAGAAGAAAAAGAGTCCGTACAGGGTTGGAATGAAGCACAGTGAAGAAGTCGGGGCTGGTGAGGAACTTGGCGCTGGGGGACTGGAGCAGGAGACTGAGGCGGGACCTGGAGCTGGACTGAGCCACAACGCTGTCCCTGCGGAGTTCTGACACACACACACACACACACACACACACACACACACACACACACACACACACACACACACACACACACACACACACACACACACACACACACACTCCAGTTTAATATTATTAATCCCTGAGCCTATGACACGAAAGCTGTGGTCCAAATGTTGGATGGGGATGTTCCTCTTATTACTCATTTCGGTACAGCATATGATTAATTTTGTCATGGGATCAATTTGTTTTAATATGCCACTTTAACATGTGAACAATTCTGTCAAATACAGGTCACGTGTGTGGAGAATCATAAGTGTTGCTATAAAAACGGTTGTATATAAAATGACTTCTAATTGAGATAATCGAGCATCTCACCTGTCTCCCCCTCCACCCCCACTTCCTGGGTTTGGACCGGGCCTGCACAGGCCTGCAGGGACTGCCTCCTCGTCCACACCTCCTCCTCCTCCTGCTGCTCCCGACTGCTCCTGCTACTGGCCCTTGCTCCTGTAAACAACAACATTTTTAATGTGTGAATGAACTCTAATGTGGGAGATTTAAAGTCATTTAAACCGTTACACATTTCATATGACACGTAGTATTGTAATCATTGTGTTTTAAACAACCACCTACCAACTTCTGATGTCGCTCCTGCCTGGTCAGCTGTGCTGCGGTTTGCAGGAGCAGCTGCTACCGGAGCGTTGGCCTCGCTGCTCGATGACTCCCCCTCCTCCTCCGCCTTTGGAGCCACTTCTTTCCTTGTGTCCACCACCTCCTGAGGACAATAGAAAAAGAGATTTAAAACCTGACAGTTTGTATTCTGTCTCTAAACTGGTGGATCAAGCTCTCAATTGATATCAGGACAGCCAGTGATATACGCATCAGTTTGGTTTATTTGAAGCTAATGTGTGCCAGTTGAAATAAAAGCTACATTTGATGTAATGAAGAGATTTTGAAGTTAGTAAGTTAGTCAACAAACTACAGCTGCTCACCTGAATGGGGGAAAGTGGAGCAAGTGAGGGGGTGCAGGGCAGATCACCCATCCTGCTGCTCTGCTCCTGACAGGTACACTCTCCCAGAGCCCCCCCCGGCCCTGCTGCTGCTGCTGCTGCCTCCGCCCCTGCTGCCTGAGATGAGCTGGGAGCTGAGGAACTGTCTGAAGCTGACGGTCCAGCAGCTGTTGCTCCGGCCTGAGTTTGGACGGCCCCCTCTGCAGCTCCAGTGAGGGTCTCTGCGGTTGGACTCTGGTTCTCCTGAGACTCAGAGGATGTCTTTGATGAGTCTGTGTTCTGCTGCGTCCCAGCCTCCTGCTGCCCTGCCTCCTCATCCTCGTCTGAGTCTATGTGCAGCATGGCGTTGAGCCGCGTGTCCGTGGGAAAGCTGGAGCGCAGTTTGGGCGAAGGCCCCGCTGGGGGCTGCTCCCCTGGACTCGTGGGGGCCTCGATGGCGTCCAGGTAGTCGTTGAGCGACACCTGCCGGTGGGTGTGACCTCCCACTGCCAGGGCGAGCAGATCCTCCTCTCCCATCTGCCCCGGGTCCCGCCACACACTGTCATCGCCATAGCAATAAGCGCCATTGACTAACAGGGAGTCCTCATCGGGGCCGGTGGGAGAAGGTCTGTATACGCGTGGGGAGGAGGACAGGTGGGGGAAGTCTTCGTCGTCTGAGGGACTCCCAGGGTCCCCGTTAACTGTGCCACCTAGGAGGGTCCCCACTATGTCAGGAGAGGCTTCTAACAGAGAGAGTGGGGG